TATATATATTGCTTATTATCAGAGTCATGTGCATGAATAGAAAAAGCACAATTACAAGAAGTGACTTTTTGTTTTAAAGGTGAATGTGCTTACATCTATTTTCACAAGTGGGGGGAGTGTGGACAGTAACTTGTAAACATTTGCATTTCTGTGAGCTGATTCACTTCGGCTGAGTGCTTACCACTTCATTCTCTTATCTGGTTGCACATTTTCAGTGTCTTGGACTCTACATGTCTGAAGATTGGATTGGAGCAAATGTCCAAGATTAATTATTTACATGGAGGTCAGTGAGGTTTCTCCACTAGAGTGGCTCCAGGTGGCCTCTGTCTGTGGTTCAGAATTTCTAAATATTGTGAATGGATTCTTCAAGGTAGTGTTCTCAGAGTGAGTATCCAGATATGTCAAGGCCTTCTTCCATACTCTTTTGGCCAAAGTCGTTCACTCTTTGGTTGAATTCACATATAATTTCACACGCACACATGATATTGAGGCATCTATTTCCCACTTTCCCCCATTAACTGAGCTAATTTTACTTATTTTCTGATTTCTTAGCTCTATATTTTTCCCCCTTAGGATAAAAGTTCTGTGTATGAAAGCAATAAAATCTCATATTCTGTACTGTAAGTTATGTTTTATCTCTTAGTTTATCTTTTGACTTTCTCACTTGACTTTTTGAATTTGAGGTTAAGTATATATTAGTTCTTTTTCCTAACTTCTCAAATAATATCTGGAGTTACTTAAGTGACACCAGCAGACTTCTTAACTGAATGTTGAGGAAGGCACTTTCTGTTGGCAAGAGAGGCTCTGGCTTCACTGGGAAGCGTTCAATTAGATGGAAAACAGATGCTTGTTTTTGCCTTGTAAACCTCAATACAGGTTATGTGGTAATTACTTCGATGAGCAGGATAACAATTTATTTAATCAGTAAGACCCTATAATTACTAATGCATAATTTCTGAACAGCATTTAGCAAAATGAGACCCATACAAATAATTTGTAATGAAAAAGATGTGTTTGACATCACACTAAATTAAATTAAAAATTTGCATATTTCCTTCCAGGAAATGCACTAGCTTCATGGGCTTTATTTTGCTTAACTAATCCCTGTCTACTTGTAGCTTGCTGAGGGATCCTAGAAATGCTGAATCACAATGATGGCTGAGTGGGGCATATGAACAAGGCATAGGGGAAAGATTCCTCTGTGGTCTAGGAAGCTATAGTATTGTGCTCTGAGGTGACTTAGAAAGTATATCAAGGCAACTATTTTTGACTATAGAGATGAAGCTACATAGTCTTTCAATTTAGAATGTTTAGCAAAACACTTAATCTACACTAAAGAAATTAAAGTAATTAATTAAATTAATCTATACTATCTCCTTTTTACGTATGAGAAAACCAAAGCCCAGAAAGTTGATACTTTGTATTATACCATCAGCAAGAAGCTGCACTGCAATCATGAAGGTATGTGGTTCGAGGCCACCAGTTGCTCCACGGGAGGAGGATGGGCAATCTCCTCCTGTGCTATTAACTGCCTCTGCGTCAGCTATGGGTCAATTCTGAGTCTACGGTACACAACAACTGTTAATCTTTACATTGTGCTGGTCAGATCACATAGGCTGTATTAGAAACACCACATACTAAATTTGCTCAGGAATGTTCAACTTTTTGGTAATATTTTAAAATGCATACATACATTTGAAATGCTAGTGTGTTTATAACATCCTAGATCATGCATAAATAAATGGAATCTCCTTGAGATAATTTAAGCTCTGATCATATTAAGAATATTGATTATCAGTATACCTTCTCTTTTCTAAAAGACAATGGAATTTAAGGCCTTAAATTCTTACCTATTGTTCCTGAAGTCATATCAAGAGAATGACCCATGTCTTCTTCAAAACTCTGGACCTGAAACACCAAAATACATTAAAAATTATTTTCAAGATATATTAGCTTCATTTATTTAATTAACCTGCACCAAGTGCCTACTGACTACTGCTGCCAAGTATAATTTTCTAGCTCCAAATCGTTTCTAGTTTACTGCAAAGGACTGATGTTTACAATGTGTCCATGATACAATATCATATCAAAAGGGTTCAGAACAAAAGGTTTTAAATTCTGGGTAGTAGGATCAGAGAATCTTTATAGTACACAAAGCATTTGAATTAAGTTTAAATAATATTATTCTAGGTTATCTTTCAATGTCTTTTTATTTTTCTTCTTTTTCCAATGGACTTTAAGTCATTCTAGAAAAAGAAATGATTTTTCAATTGTGAGCTTAATTTTCTCAGGGATTTATTTAGTACTTGGTAAATTTATAGAAAGCCATTCAGAGAATTCATGACCAATTGATATCCAGGGCTTAGGTTTGTTAAAGCTAATTTACCTTCAAAATTGATGGATCCAAATTGATTTTGTTATGGTTGGAAATGAATACTTATCTTTTAATGAGAATAAGGCTAACGTGGAAATAAAATTACGTTATTACTTTTAAAATAGCATTGCGTGCTCACTATAGAAACAATAAAATGTTAAAAGTATAAACAGTGTCAATATTTTGGGTTATTTCTTGGCAGATTTTCTTTGTAATAAGTTCACTACAGATAATTTATGTAGTCAAATTTTTCACTCCTAAATTTGAAATAAGAATATATTCCCATGTTATAAAATATTTAAAAACATAGTCTTTAATGATTATACACCAGTCCATAGGAGGTATATTAATTTACTCACCAATTCTACCGCTGTTGTAATTAATGCTCTTTGAATTTTGCAAATAGAGAAAAGGCCCAAATAAATACTTAGTACACAAATTTAATTTTATATTATATCTTTAAGATTACTGTATTGAAAACTCAGTCAGAGAACAGAAATAGTCAAACACTGTGGTGGTTTCATGTGGTTCAGAAAGACCATTAACTCAGAAATAAGCTGAATTATTGAGGACAGACTTCATTAACTAAGCCCAAACTGATTCATGGTGTCTCCCCATTGAGTGTCTAAGGCTATAAATCTTTACTGAAGATTTCCCCTCTTCTTCAAAGTGGTTGGTGGATTCCAACAAACCCAACTTTCAATTAGCAGTCCAACACAGAATTCACCAGCCACAAGACTTCCTTATACTTCAATATGTGAGAAACATATTTAAATTCTTTTTTCCAAAGAAGTTACTGCTCACTTGACTTTTGATAGCATATACTCCCATGTACATCCCACTCAGTGTGGTGTAAATTTCACAGTTGTTCATTGAATTAAAAGAACAACAAAAAGTTCCAATGATTTAAATTGGAAGCCAGGCATACTACTGGGCTATTTCATCTGAACCAAACCTATTAATTGATTAATTTTGTCATCAAGAACTTTATTATAGTTATAAAGAAATCATCTTTCTTGTGTTTGTAATTGTACATTTAAATATTAAATTTGGCCGACAGGTCTGGGAATTTTAAAAGACTCAATTCTCCTTTGTGTAAAAGTAAACATAAAAATATGCTGATTTTCACGTCAAAATCTATGCTCAATTTTGTTGGAATCATAATTTTGAGAAGCGAGCCAATTGTGGCCAAATTCAGTGTTTAGTAGGACTTTAGGGAAAACATCATAGATTGGTCTGGAGGCAAAATTTGGCCACCTATATTTGATATTTTGATAGCTAGATATTTAAGCACATTGGCTCACACTTTAAATGCCATGAAAATCTGCCAATTTCACACATATTTTTCATTTCTTATAATTGGATTTTAAAATTTACTATTGAAAAATAAATATTAAATCTGGCATTAGTTATTTTTAACATGCAACTGGTCCTAACTTCATTTACTCTTCCACTGGTATTGAGTCAAACAAATATTTCCCCCCCAGGCTGTGTGGTGAGGATGTAATATTCCAAATACATATTTTAAAAAGACAAAATACAAGTAGTATGATTCTTTTATATCATTTTTAGGGCTATCTTCCCTAACACAAAAGCACATACATGTGTGTGCACACACTCCCACACACATCGATATATGCTCTCATCCCCCAACATTAAAGAACTGCCATAAACAAGTTTGACTATGAAGTTCAACAGAATATTCTATTTTCTCGAAATATGAAATCTATTACTACATTAAATTAACATCATCAGAACGTCTTTGTATTAATTGATGCTTGTTGTTGTTGTTATGTGCCGTCGAGTCATTTGCGACTCATAGCGACCCTATGCACAACAGCCCTAAACCCCGCTCTATCCTGCGCCAACCGCACCGCCTCTGACACACCCATCCCGATTACCCCAGTCACCAAATCAATCCATCTCATAGAGGGTCTTCCCCTCCTGCGCTGTCCCTCCACCCTCCCAAGCATGATGTCCCTCTCCAAGGACCCGTCCCTCCTGGCAACATGTCCAAAGTATGTCAGACGAAGCCCCAGAATCCTTGCCTCCAAGGAATATTTCCTGAGTACCTTCTATGTGACAAAAGTACTTGTGAGATTATTTTCTCTCATTTTGGTATGGGAATATGCCCTTGGTCATTATAAACACACACATCCATATATATTTTTATTTACTATTTGTCATTTACTTGAACTATTTAAAACATATCAAAAAAAAGCTGTTGACTTTGAGGTGTATCTATAATCTCTGTACTCATATGTTGTTGTATTTGTTAAGTGTCATTAAGCTGACTACAACTCATAGTGATACCATAAATAAAAGGTTTGAACCCTGAGCTATCCTGTACCATATTAACTATCTCTGACATACTCAAACCCATTGTTGCAGTCAAAGAATCCTTCTCATTAAAGCTCTTCTCATCCTTCACTGACCCACCACTTTTCCAAGCATGTGTCCTTTTACAAGGACTAGCTTTTCCTAACGACATGCTCAAAGTACGTGATGTTTGTTGTGTTGTTGTTGTTATGTGCTGTTGAGTCGCCTGCAACTCATAGCGACCCTATGTACAACAGCGCTAAACTCCGCTCTGTCCTGTGCCAATCGCACTGTCTCTGACACTCCCATCCCAATTATCCCAGTCA